CCACAAATAGCGTGAGTTCCAAATCTCCTCAGCTCAAAACAAAGACTGGCTTAATCCAAACATTCAGAAAAATTACTTAACAATAGCGAAGAGCATCACATTTGGTACAAGCACAGAGGAAAGATCTACATGCATATCTACAAAACAGGCTTTGCCAATGACAAGAAGTTGACTGCTACCAGAATCAAGGCCAGAGGTCAACTAATAACTATGGGAAAAAACAGCAGATGTATACAAATAAAAATTAATAAAACAATTGATAAATAAATATACATCCGAAAAATGTATACCACAGCTATCCGGTAGTAAATTTCTTCTACTTCAACACCCAACCGCTGCCGTGAATTGTTTTCCTTCTGAAGCGAGCACAGAAGACAATTTCTTCCAGTTCAAACGCCCAACTGCTGCCATGAATTTTTTTTCTTTTCTTTTTCTTTTTTCCCTTCTGAATTGAGCACAGAAGACAATTTCTTCTAGTTCAACGCCAGCCATGAATAATTTTTCCGTCTGAAGTTAGCACACAAGACCAATAAAGATTTTGGTAAATTATTTTTCTTTGCAAGAGTCAAGCAGTTGGGGGCAGAGTTAAATATTGATAGATGGCAGCAGATCAAGTCAGATGGAAGCTCGTCATCTCTCTTTGGTTTCTACCTCTTCTCGTTCTATAGAATATGTACAGCATCGAGGCGTTTGCTCTTGTGCCACCACCTCAACCAAAACCGAACCCTTCATTCGCTTCATGGATAGCTAGAAGTAACCTCTCTTGCAAACGCTCTTTCGAAGTGTACTCTGGCAGGTCGAGTTGATTGAAACTGCAACAAGATGAATAACATTGAATCAGCATCCCAATTAACCAAGTAGGTAAGCAGCAACATATTTCATGAATCATCATACAAAGACCGGAAAAAAAACATCATACAGAGAGCCCGCTATAGAAAACCATAAGGGAGAGAGGAGACGAAGGCACCTGGCCTAATATTAATCTTATGAAGGCATCAATGTCAGCTATCAGTGCAGCTTGCAGTAGTAGCATTGCGCTGGTAGGCAATGACTGCAATTATAGCTGTAAGTGATATTCGCATCAAGATTCATGCCAAGCCAGACCTATTCATCCCCTCTCTCTATGGTGTTGTACATAAGGCCGTCTATAGGTTTATCCCACAAATATGAATTGCAATATTCGTAGACACGGGGGATATAATTTACAAACTAGAATCTACTGACATTTAAGATCCATGTTCATGTATTGTACAATGGCTTTCCATCACTTCATGGATGGTGTAAAGCTTAAGTAGAACATACTTCAGGCATGGAAACATACCAAGTATGAGCTGAAGGAAGGTGATCGGAACTTCCATAGGCTTTATGGATCTGAAACCTCTGTGAGCCAGATATTCCTTGAAGAGCGCTAAAACCTTCTAAAGGAACCTGCAGGTTTGAAGCAATTTAAATGAATCAAACTAAGCAAGGAAAATTACATCACAGCAAACGGAAAAGATAAACTGTTTGCCTATCGGTGAAGTATATGCTCAGAAACAAATGTCTAAATCCATAATCACAGTGTAGTGATGACTACACTACTAACCATATGATGATATAAATAGAAGTTTGTGTTAATCCAGGAATTTCAATTCAATTGTTTCAGTGCAATTGACTGAAATACCAAGACTAGGATCCTCCCTCTTTTCTGTGTCGCATTAGGTTTTCAGGCTTGGGAATATAATACGCAAGTCATCAAAGATAATAGCAAGTCCTTATACTACCTAGTACTACTGCTTAAGCAAAGTTTCATTGATAAGCAACAAAAAATTGTTAGATCTACATGTTGAAACAGCCAAAATTCTGCTTACAAAATCAGTCATTGACTAATCAGCTGTCAATATGAAGCATTAGGGCAAGCATTTTGATCTAGGAGATACCTTAGAAGTGCCAGTGACAAACTGCAGGAAACGAGCCTTGTCTTCCTTGCTGAAGCCCTGAACCACCTCCCAGAACCACTGGATGACAGGAGATGCATTGCTATACCCGGAATATTCTGAATTTGCTCTCAAGTCATCCACTGCATTGAGGTAAAGCAGTTTTAGATGTAGTAAAAACTATACCAAATAAGTGCAACAGTTGCTTGATATTCATTAATCCACAAGTATGATATGCTTTTACTCACAGTCAATATCTGGAAGACCACTAATCAACAATTCCAACTCTTTGTCATTAAATATAGAAACCAGCTCCCGAGGGATCATGTCATTGAAGCCCTCCATGAATGCATTGATTTGAGGCCTAATGGCAGTAGTTAGTCGATGCTCCACAACACGATCAACATACTCATGTTTATTTTCTTCTGTGACTCTGATATTCCGTCCACCAGGAATCAGTTCAGAATCAGTTACCTGCAAAAAAAAAGAATATTTACAATAGAATCAATATGAATTGCTTATATGTTAGTTATTTTTCAAGACCAAGGTCCTTTCTCCCTCATGTGGGGTGGTCTTTTCCTTCTCCTTCTTTCTTTCTTGCCTTGTTGTGTGTGTGTGTGTGTGTGGTGTGTGGTGGTGGTGGGTCGGGGGGGGGGGGGTGGGGGGAGGTGTGTTTGTTTTTCTTTTTTTGTGGAGGGGGGCCTCGGGGGGGTGGATGAAACTAATTATTTTATATATCTTACAGATCAATGTATTCCTGTACAATGTTGCTATTATTGCATTTTTGGGCGTGATGCTTTTTTTTTCTTTCTTTCTTTTTTTGTTTTTTGGGGGGGGGGGGGGTGTTCGGGCGGGGGAATAAAACTAATATCATTCATCTTGACACTTCTCCGTGGGCAAAAGTGGAATCTGGCTGGCATACATAAGATGATTACATAAAATACTCAAAAGAGTCAAAGCACACATATCTACAGTCCTTCAGAACAACATAGCTAAAAGACATGATAGAAAGAAAGAAAAAAATTCCTTACATCTTCTCTTTCATATAATATCAGCTTCTCTTCATCAGCATCCATGCTGAAAGTGAGATCCAAAACATCACCTATGTCATTCTGCAAGTTTGCCAAAACAAAAACATCAAGCACAACTTAGAATTACAATTCAATTTACATCACTATCAAGAATGAAAGATATATTCTCGGGAACATAAGACAACATACCTCAAGCATCCACTTTAAGTTCTTATAGTAATCAGGATCAATAGCCTCAATATCATGGTAAGTAACCTTCGCCCCTAGAATGTGCTTGTAGAAAGATCGAGTAAAATGGACATCAAGAAGTTGACCATCAAAGAGAGCCTTGCCAACCTAAAGGAATTAAAAATTAAGTCAGAAAAATATCAAAGGAAGCATGATAGTTCCCAAACAAGCTGAAAAACAATACGCACCACTCGGCCTACAAACTTAAAATACGATAGATGTTCTGTTTGGTAAACCGAGTTTGGATTTGGCTGAAATGTTGAATCATTGCCCACTGTGGTGAAAAGCAAGGCACCCTTGTCGAAAATAACACGGGATAACAACTGATACCATTCCCTTGTAAGCCCCCCAGCATCAATACCTTCTTCCCCTTGGAAATGCACGGTGAGCCTTCCCTTCAAATCCTGAGGTGATCTCATCCGAAGCTGGTTATATGAGTCTTCCAGAATGTAGGCTCTTCTCACTGAAATTCTCACTGGACTGTGATGATGGTCATGTTGATGTTTTATTTTTGATCGGAAATGAGCACGCTTGTTGTCAAAATCGATGAAACGAGGTACTTTGAGCATGAGAGAAAATGACTTCTCAAGTAACCCAGGGTTCTGGCGAATGAATGCATTTAATAACTTTCTATGCTTCTCTGAGAACTTCACAAATGCCACATTCTTCTCTTCAGCTTTTGAAGATACCATAGGTGATCTTTGACCACTGGACAAATTTACGTTGTCTTCAATATCTGTAGTTGGTGCAGTGCCAAGCTCTTGGACCACTTCTGAGTGCTCTGGTCTTAGCTTCTCACAGATCACAAAGAAAGACTCAATGTATGGCAAAATGTTCTGGGTGCCAGCCGGAAGAGGTGAAATTGCATTTGTACTTGTCGATGCAGAATTTTCAGACATTGTAGAAAAATCTGATGTTGATTCTGAAGATCTTTCAATTTTGCTGATGGAGTTGCTCAGTTCTATCCACAAGGATTCTAATGCACCATTTATTTCCGATACCTGAGAAAGAGCATCAGTGTGGTCCTTCTCAGGAAGACGTTGGGGATCATTACTCTCATGTAATGTGGCAACAAGGGAACTCAATGACTGCAAAACTCGTAAGATTGATGTCCCATTCGTAGAAGATGTTGTGAGAAGAGCCTTCTCAGCATCCTCATACAATTGCAACTCACTCATTGCAGATATGGTTAGATTGTGCATTGAGTTAGCTAATTCTGTTATAAAGAGATGGCAGTAGGATGGAGCAATAGCCACTAGCTTCTTCAACACCTCAGCAACAAGACCATATGCATTATCTGACAGTCTGCAAATGAGAATTTAAAACAACTGTGAGCATATAGGAAGGACAGCTACATTTCCGCATACAAATGCTCAGATCATTTGGAGGTTAGGAATGCATTTAAGCAAGTGAACAAAGTGGTCATAAGGGGAAAAGGAATAGCCTCAAAGATAAAAGTAAATGAATCTCAAATTTTGCAGTAGATATGATATGTCAAAACCCATGATGAAAGCATAAACATCCTTGCTCTTGCAATATATTTGTAACAAAATACCCACAACACAAGGTTTTAGATATTGAATATAGGGGAATTATCGCACGGCCAAAATCCATAGTGAAACAGATATCAGGAAAATATAGGGATATGTAGCAGATATCG